TTTTTAGCGTAAGGATTTTAGAAAAAAGTATCATCTTATAGTCGGAAAAATACGGTATGTATAGCAGGGCTTCTGTATATATCATCACATGGAAAAAGTAGACCCTTTCCTTTCTTTTAATTCTTGGTGAACTGATTTCTTTTTTACAGCCTGTCTCCATAAACAGCAAACAAAGGGAGATAAATTTGGGGAAATGTTTACAGAACAGCATATAGCCAATTTTGCTTGATGCAAATGTTGTTATGGGACTGTCTCAAGTTCAGCAACTCTACATCGATTGGTATTTTGCTCAGAAGCCCCTCATGGTAACTTCCATTACAAATTCCAATAAAACAAAATTAGGCCTTGTTACAAGTAGATGCTTTTCTGAAAACAACCCTGAGAGTTTCTCCCAGATCCCTCCACAGGTTTTTGCTCCTTTCAAGCTAAAAGAAATTGTGGGGAAACTAGGGGAATAACGGAAGGAACATTAGTCATGAACAACTAAGAGATAGAGGGAGACTCCAGTTTAGTAAACTTACTGATAAACGAAAGTGCAAAATTCCTCTTGCAATTTTGAAGATTAAGCCCTACAAGCTGAGCAAGATCAAGGAAGCAAGAATTACACAGATTTCAGTAAGGTATCTTTACTGCTAGTATTAGGGGTAAATACAGAATATTTGAAACTGCAAATAGAATTTCCAACTGTCATTTATTAAAATAGAGTTTCTTGGAACATTTTGAACTATTTCTTCCCAGATTTTTTTTCTACCTGGACTTAGCTGCTGTTATGAGTGAAGTTACCAATGGACTCTCTTCCTATCTCATTCATTCATTTGCAGGACTTATATGGCCACCTATCTCATATAATAAGCCTGAATGTTTATGTCCAACATTCCTTCCATTATTCTCCCAGACTCTCCACAATCTCTTATATTTGACAGAACTGTTCTGTTCTGTTCTCTTATATTTGTTAGCCACAATTCCTTCTTTTCATAACTCTTCAATACCCACAAAAGGCTTTAGTCACAATAAGTTTTTATAACAGACTTGAGAGGCCATCCACCTATCTTCTTATCTGTGCCTTGAAGATGCCTTGCTAACCATTCTTTGAAGACATGATTTCATGACATAGCTTTCATCTCATTCCCAACCCATAGGTAAGGCATCCTCACTTTCTAATTTACCTGCTCCAGTGTTTCCCATTTTTTCCCACCACAAGCTTTCTTACATGCATGATTTATGGTGTTTCCTCCATGGCTTGAGCAGAAGGACAGGTGAAACAATGGGCAACTGCTCACATTGCCAGTCAGGCATTATGTGGGCTCCTTATCTATCCAGGTCTCACAGTCTTATGTGAGCCACATGATCTGATGATCTGCTATTAGTCCAACAGTCCTTGAAAAACAGTAATGCTAAAACCCAGGTCCTTCTTATTCTACATTTTTCTTTTCTTTTGGGGGTAAAAATACATTCCCATCTGCCCTAGAGAAGCAAGAGGCCATGTACACTTCTTATTTAGTTCCAAGACCGCAAATATTGCAAGAAACAATCAGTTGCACTACAAGACTTGTAGACAGACATTCTGTCATTTTTAGCCCAAGTGCCACTGACTCAGCCAATCCAGCAGTAAGTTAGGAAGCCAAAGATACAAGCAGTTCGAGTGCACAGAAGCTCTAAGCCACAAATGAAAATCCTATGGGTTGCATACAACTCAAGAAAGTCCCAGATGATTGCTCCAGTCTTCTCCTTCATACATGACTTCTATATTCTGCCTTCAAAGGAGCTGCCACCATTGTTTCACTGCCAGTTTTTCCAACCCCCTGTACTTACCATCACCACTTTCTCCATCTGATCCTCCTGCATATTGATGAGAATTTTATTTATTTATTTATTTATTTTATTTATTATTAAACTTCTATGCCATT